CGCCCCACCCCGTCACACCAGACCCTGATGTCATCAGAGTGCGGAGAACTCTTTCGCCACGCGAGCATCAGAGTTATAGAGTGAGACAGACAGACGGACAGACGCGAAGGATAGACAGACAGACAGACCGAGGCAGGAGCGGATAGAGAAAACGATTTGACGGGATGACAGAATGAAACAAGTATCAGCAGCCCTTCTTCCGCGTCAGCGAGCATCGCCGCAGCCAAACAAACCGCGTGGTGCAAAGGGGGTGTTGTTACGGTTTCCCGTAACTTTTGTTTATCTACCTTGACTCGGAGGCTTGGTTGTACCTCTGGTTTCACTTTAATGTTGTGACGAAGAAAATAACTCCTCTCAAGGCAAGTGTGGTCATAGTTGATGTGTCACACTCTGAGTAGGTTTCGTGTCTCACGCTTGTTTAACTTTTTGAACTCTGTTTAAGTTTTCTTTTGAACTTGTCTGCTTTAGGGCAGTATTTGTGATGTAGTCAGCCATCTCTCTTTTCATTTTGCTAGTTTGCATAACTTTTGGTGCTGTTTTTGATGTTTAATGGTGAACTTGAGTTTCTATATTTTATTACTGGCGTTTTTCTTAATTTTCAATTTATTTTGAGGTAATCATTCAAGGCTCTTATTCTTTATCTTGGGCTATCTCTTGTCGCTTCTATTTTCCTACCATCTTTCTTCTAAAGGGAGCTTTCAATCTTTTTGGTCGGGGGGGGATGTTACGGTTTCCCGTAACTTTTGTTTATCTACCTTGACTCGGAGGCGCCTGGAGCATAGGCCGCCCGATCTACCCCGTGCCCGGTCTCGCGGTGGAGTGGCTGTTGCCCTCCTAGTGCGTAGGCAACCCTTTATGCCTTGGTTCCCCGCTTGGCCGGGAGATGGGTCTGCCTTTGCTCCGGGTCGCTTCCGCTTGTCTCCTTCCCCCTCCACCTCTCTCTCTCGCTCAGCTGGTTCGGTCCGCGGCTCGGTTGTGTCAGAGCTGAACTGAACACCGACCCGGGCGAACTATCAGCCTCACCTACCATCTTTCTATCCCCGGTACGTGATGCCTGTCTGCCACGTGTTCGTGGACTTGCTAGAATTTGAGCCTTGTACTGATTTGCCGTTTTATCCCTTTTAGGGTCAACCTTTCCTTTCCATCTTCAATATGATTGGCTTTACGTTGTGTTATGCATTGCAACCGTTTTGTCGTACCGTGCCGCCATGTCGCCGTCTCCGGCCTCAAGTTCACCAGCATCGTTTTGGTCTTGACCTAGGAGTGTATTGATCGACTTTGTATACGTTTTCGGTTTATGCTATTAGCTATAGTTTACCGGTTATATGTTTCGTATCGTTGGGCCGTGGTGCCGTTTGTGTCTTGTACCTCCTTGAGATAGGCTATAGAGTGCCTTTTGTCAGTTTCTGTCTGCCAGTCTGAAATTAAACTGTGATACAATTACTTGGGTTTTAGTTATGTTAGGAACCCTGTGTTCCTTGGCGCCCTAAATAAATTCATGGCTTTAACCCAGCCCCTCTACCTGGCAACGCTGAGCTAGTCATCCAGTTATCAGAAGTTACAATTTTAACTTTACCGCTTTGTAACAGTGTACTCTGCAAAGAGAAGGTGTGTGTGACGTCACATTGGTCCTTTGAAAAATCCAACAAAGGTGTAGAGTTCAGAAAAACGGAGAAAAATAGTTTTTAAAAAGGGGAAATGTGATACACGATGATTCTGGTAGACTTTGGTGTTTTCCCTACACCCTGAAATTATTCTTCACTTTTTTCTCTATAAACCCTTATGCTCGTGCGGACAAAGTCTGTGCGAACTTCAAACATACTGCTCAAAAATTTGTAACTTCGAAGAATCCGCCGACAGCAGCAGTGTAGTGTCCGACCTTTTCTCGCACCATCGTGGAGCTGGTCCGTCTCAGAGTCGCGCGGCTTCTGCTCCGCCGCGTGGAGTCAGAAGTCTTTTCCACCCGTCATTCCCCCCGGCCCACCACCATACCCCGGCACACCCCGCGAGCCACGGAGGAGAGAGAGGAAGCTCCCATGCATATTTTCTTCCTCACCACCGCGCCTCGGCCCGCCCCGCCCCGCACTGTTCACGCACGGCCACCCCGCGTTACGGCGGCAAAACGATGCAATAAAGAGTGGTAAATGACGTAAAATTAATTATTACGGGCGGGGTATTCCTTCCGCCTGAGGGGAGAGGGGCGTGGCGGGGCGTGGCGGGGCGGGGCGGAAGGGTGTTAGAGGGCGTGGTGGTGCGGGGAGGGACACGTGTCGCTTTTTGTTTCGTTTAACGTTGCGATACAAACACATTATTTGTCAGTCCATCACGCACAGGGCACGCCGCCAAATCCGAGATGCTTATCGTATAGGACCCGTCGTGTCGCCACAACGATGGACCCGCTCGGCTGGCGTGGCGTGGAGGGGTCACGCGAGGTCAGAGCGGGCCGACGGCGCGCGCGGCGGCGATAGAGAAGACGTTTTACTGCCGCAGGGATCTTTATCGAAGCGCAGCCAGAATGCAGATCAGCCCGCCTGCTGCTGGTGCTGCTGGTGCTGCTGGTGCTGCTGTTGCTGCTGGTGCTGCCGGAGCAGCGCACGCCACCGGGCCAAGAGTCGACGCGCGGATTTAACGCTTCATCGCGGACGCTCCATCGCCACCCCGATCCCAAAGGCAAAAAATGATTCTGTTGTGTTTTATCATGACTGTAACTCGACTTTTGAACTTGTTATTGTAATTTTTGACGCAATCCGCGATTATACTGTACTTGAAACAATTAATCAATGAGCCATAAAAAATAAGAAAGGGGTTGTTGTGCGCGGGACCATACCAATCAACAGCAGTGATATTGTGTAGTTGTACATTTTACGGGAAAATTTTCCTTTAAGCGAATTCAAAATTGTAAAATGGCAATCATTATGTATCGACTTCAACTTAAATTATAATGTATCAATGTATCAAATTCATCGACGAGCATGTTTGGAGTGTCGTAAATTTACAACAGTTTTTGTGAGTATTAACTCACCATATATATCGTGAATTTACGACGGCATCTTTTTCGCAGTGTAACTACTATTTTTCTTCTTGATAATTATTACTTTTTCATTCATTCATTTCTTTTTAAATTTCTGCGTGACGGTGGGAAAACATCCTTCGCTGTTGCGTGCCACTTTAAACACATAATAATGCAAACGGCTCAATTTCCTCCAGCGGGACCCGCTCCCTCTCGCCCTCACTCTCTCTCGCTCCCTCTCGGATGGTATATAATTTGTCGACACGCCCGCCGCTCCCGCGAGCCTGGTCCTCCTGGAGCGCGGGCGCGCTTGCTCGCTCCCACAGGGGCAGTAGTAGCACAGCCGCAGCAGCCGCTCGGCTCCCCCGCGAGCAACTGATAAACTCTCGGCCAAGTATCATCATAATAATGGGAAAGAGCCCCGGGAAAATCCGTCGAGTGTGAACAGACTCGAGTGGATCGCAATATTAGTGCGGAGCGGAGGAAAGAGATGCGACGGCGGTGTCGCGCGAGGGGAGGGGAGGGAAGAGAGGGGAGGGAAGCGGGGAGAGGGGAGGAGAGTCGGGGGACGAGAGAGAGGGGGACGAGGCAGGGCGGACGCGCTGCTGCTGCGCGCCCCCCGCGGCCGACGGGGCGAGGGCGGGCGGTGTTCACCAGACTTTCCCCAATTAAGCTGCTAAGATTTTCCCAAATTAGGTCGCCGGCGAGGCGCCGCCCCCCCCCCCCCTTCTAGACTGCTACAGCAGCAGCAACGGAAGCAGCGGCACCGGCGATAAAAGCGCCCACCGCTCTGCGTATTGCGGAGAAAGTAACTGAAATCTTTCCGGCAATGCGGGGTAGGGGGATAACTGAGGATCATACCTCGCCGAATCAAAGAGATTATGGGAGGCGAAAAGGAGCAAAAAGTAACCCACACTTAGTAAACCTCAGCCGACTAATAGCGTCCTTTAGTAAACTTGGTAACAACTAGCCTACAGCACCTGAAAACGTACTGAACATTTTTAAGTATATGTTTTATAGTGCAGGCGGGTAAAGAACGAGTATTATGAAAATAAAAATTCGACATGACCGGGACATGACAAAAGCTAAGCGTGGGACGCCTGAGCAGCCTTACGCCCCTCAAGCGGCGCGACGGCGACGCTCGGGGACCGAAATTGATTCTGGCATTCGCTGCGGCCCACCAGGGATGTTAGACGGCTCCCAGCCCATTATCGTACCAACCTTCCGAAATTATCGTACGCAGGGTCAAAATTATCGTACATTTCAAAAAAATTACAATTTTGGCCCAAATAAGGTAAAATTTACATTTTAACAGTATAATAAGTGTTTCTATGTAGCTAAAAGGTTGCTAGTTTAAGAGAAAATAAGGTTTTGAGGCTGCGTTTCTCACTCAGAGGTTGGCTACAAAGCGGTGGTGGGGACTAGGCACCAGACTCCCCCCTCCTCCACCCGCTGTCCCTCGTCCCTCTCCCTCCTTCTCTCTCTTCGCTAGGTATGCTTCTCTCTCGCGGAGTTGTTGCTGAGGGGTGGAGAGGGGCGAGCTGGCGCGCGGCAAACGGAATTTTATTCAAACTGATGGAGATTCAGCACCTTACGAGAGCCATATATAGGCAATTATAGGGTAAAATCGGTCCAAACCGAAATTATCGTACTTTTGGCGTACGATAATGGGTCACGATCGTACATCGTACGGAGGGTCGAAATTATCGTACGCGTACGATAATATCGTACGCTATAACATCCCTGCGGCCCACGGAGCGCGCCGCGCGCCATACTCGAAACCTACGCCCCACCCCGCCCCGCCCCGCCACACCGCGCCGCGCTGGCGCCAACCGCCACCCTCGTCTGCTCATTGACATAACATAATTATACTGTCACTCAAACGATGGGGAGCGGCGA